GAAATTACCACTGATTTGAGACGTCGTGTTGGATAAGTAGTGAAAACAGGGGCCATCTGTCTTTTTCCAGTGTCCATGCTCTCATGAGGTTCTTCTTGTTATATTACTAGATGAATGAAATTGATGTTAATTTTGTACAATTTGGAGATATATTAAGTTAAACAACTATCACGCAAGTGTAACAACTAGCTCATACATTTAAAATCAAATTCAAAAGTTTAACAGCTATATGTTTAACAATTATCGTGTAAGTTCAATTATTGTTTGAAGTAGAATAACAAAGATGATGTGGCAAAATCAATTCTTTATTCTTTTATTTAAATCATATTACATTTTCAAATAGAGTTTGTGTAACTACAAATAGATGAATTGTAAGTGAGCCGTATATAATGTGTAAAATTACTCCTTTATTTGATTAACAAAAATATATCTCTTAAACAAAACTTTATTGATAATATTATCATCCACTACTCATAGTAATTGTTATGAATTCTTTTTGTATTCAATATTTATTACATTATATATTTAATAGAAAACTCATAAATACTGAAAGATTTCATCAGTGTCAATAGTTGAGGGCCTTATCTAGAAATACGAAATAGCAAGGGACTAATGTAGAAAACTATCCAAAGGATTTCATATTCTAAAGTATCCGATTGCATCCGATGAACCGCATGGGAAATATAAAGCAATATAATATTGGTAATATTATTCGTTGTAAAAAAAAGGGCAAATGAAAAGACTGAACAACAATAATTTTTTGTTAAAAGTGGTCCTTATTTCACTTCCAAATGGCATGCACACTTTTTTAGGAGAAATTGATCAAGCACTAAATCTCATAAAGCATATATTGTGTATTTTATTTCAAGTGCATATTTAATCAAACAAACACCTAAAGTAAAAAATGAGAGTCAGTATCATATTTTTTTACTCTTGGGTAAACTAGTATGTCATAGGTGCCTTGCACGTGATGCATATTAAGAAACTACAAGAGTTTAAATATTTGAGGGCCAAGTAATTTTTCACTTACTAATTTTACAATTATTTATTAAATACATTCTTCACATAGAACATATGCTAACTGCACATTGCCTGTAGTTTTAAACAATCATCAACTAAATAAGTTTTCATATGCATAGAAATTTCAGGTTGCACAATTTTCCCATCAGGACCTGATATCATTCCGTAAGCATACAGATTGTGGAAAATGATTTTATGAGCAAAATTTCATAGGCAGATTAAAATCATCAATTTCAATCTTATGTGTCTGGCTTTTGGAACTTGATATTTGAGCAGAAGATAATACAGGTGCATGCTATGACGCAAAACTTTCTCGCAAAGCTTTCTTCAAACTCATAGGATAGTGACCGGTTTTGAATTTTTTATCGAGTTCTCTTGCTTTGGCTACTCATGATGAAAAACATTTAGGGGAACTTAATTTGCAACAATATACATGATGGTGATATCACATGCAAATTTCTTTCAGTGTTGAATCATAGAATATATTCCTTATCTTCCACATGTTCTCTCTTTGACCAGTTTTGGTCACATTTTCATAATCCCCAGCTGATGATTTGTTTTAGCAAAAGACAACATCATGATCTTTTACCTGCATATGAATATAACCAAAGTTAGAGCCTTATTATACCACCTAATAGAAAAAAAAGATCACTGATATTGACAGACCTTAGTCTCAACGTGACCAGCTGTAATGATAAAGATTATGTTACCAAGTTGTTGCATTTTTAAAAATATATATGAAGATAAAAAGAGTAAGATGATTAAATCTGTACGTGGAAGGTTAACAACTTTGTTTGCTTCAGAGTCAGCAGCAGTATTGTAACCCTAAAGAGGGTAGAAGAAAAATAAATATGTGAGATGTAACAACTTCGAAGGGTAAAATGCAAATAGTTTTTTAAAGATAGAAGAAGAAAAATAAATATGTGAGATGTAACAACTTCGAAGGGTAAAATGCAAATAGTTTTTTAAAGATAGAAAATGAGAACAAATAAAACTCAAACCAACAACTTCGAAGGGTAAAATGCAAATAGTTTTTTAAAGATAGAAAATGAGAACAAATAAAACTCAAACCAGACAAACAACACTCAATGCTTATGTATTAGTTTTCACTAAAATTAGGGAGACGCTTAATAAACCTTTTCACAAGAAAATGTAGAACGTTCTCCTTTTTATAGATGATCTTCAAACAATTTAGCATATATTGCATGTACAAAAAGGAAAAATGCCAAGCTATACCTTCAGAAATTCTAAACTGAAGATTGGATGCTTGTTTTCTAAAGATAGAGAATGGAAACAAATAAAACCCAAAGCAGACAAACAACAGTCAAAGCTTTTGTATTAGTTCACTGAAATTAGGAAGAAACTTGCTAAAAACCTTTTCGCAAGAAAAATACGGAACATTCTCTTTTTGATATCTAATCTTTAAACAATTTGGCATGTACAAAAAGGGAAAATACCAATCTATACCTTTTAGAAATTCTCAACTGAAGATTGAGTGGTACAAACAAGCAAGTTGCCAAGTCTCAATTTCGTAGTTGACATTTCAGAACAAATAAATATATCACGAGTAGGAGGAAGGCAGAATAAATGTTCACTCATATTAATAGCTAATACTATATTGTTTGACATTTCACACACACACACACACTCTCTCTCTCTCTCATATATGAAGGTTAAATATCCAATAATTGTAGAAAAAATTCTGAGTTAGTGTAAATCAAAGAAATACAAGTAATATGCTCCGAGTTCAAATAAAGAAATATTTCATACCCTTGAAACATGCTCCATATCAAATGACTTAAACTAGCTCCTGAGTTGCTGAGCCTCGCTGCAATACCTAGACATGTTCTCATTCCTGGTTTGCCAGTACCCTTGCACCAATATTAGAAGTGAGTTTATTACTAAGGGAAAGTGCGCACATATGAAATGGACAACACAAAGGTGAGCCAACTAAATGTTTTATACTGCATAAACCAAAAATAAATCAAATAAGAAATTAATTAATTGTTTGAAATTGCAAAATTTATGATGTCATCAAGTTTACTACTTCAATAGAGCAATAGCCAAAAAAAACTTAACATTGAAATTTTAAAAAAAATTGGATAGTCAACTATTCGCTTATCCCTCTTTTAATTTAGGACCACAAAATATAAACCTTCTAACATTAAAAATTTCCACAAAAAAGAAAATTCAGATACATGATTGTGGAAAAGTTTGGAATCACCCTAACATCTATATAATAATAACTCATATCAAATACAATCATCATTCCCTGGTTGAGTGATGCATACTCTGCAACATTATTGGTTACATACCCCAAACCCTCACGAACTCAAGCAATCTGATCATAACCCAGATCAAAACACATCAACTCCTCTACTAAAACCCTAAAAAACAAAACTATGTCTAGGTTTTTAACCCAAAAATTACACTGATCTATTTTTTAATTAAACTATCCACTTCCACGGTTATTTCTAGACCCAATTTCCACCTGATTTATTTTTAAACCCATTTTACTTATTTCATCAGTTTTATGCACATGATCTTTTAGAAAAAATAATTTACGTATGGAACTTTCTAAGAGTCCTTAGAATGTAAACTATAATCCTCTTAAGCTTGTCATAA